AGAGTCAGGGCAGAGTTCAAGTTTGGCTAATTTGGAAGCTCAACAATCAGGGCCACATTATGACTTTCTGGTCCCTGGGCAGTTTTACCTTCTTGGGCCCTTTTCTCCATAAAAATTATATTTTACAACTGCAATAGTATAGGGACAAATATAATCCAGACTGGATGATATTTATTTATTGCTTCTGCTTTTAAAAATTAAAATATTGTGGAGAGGACTTCCCTAGTGATTCAGTGGTTAAGAATCCACCTGCCAATACAGGACACATGAATTCAATCCCTTCTCTGGGAAGATTCCACATTCTATGGCGCAACTAAGCCCAGGCATCAGAACTACTGAAGCTCACCTAAAGCCTGTGCTCCACAACAAGACAGGTCACCACAATGAGAAGCCCATGCACCACAACTAGAGAGTAGCCTCTTACTCACCAACTAGAGACAGCCCTCAAGGAGTAACGAAGACCCACCACAGCCAAACATTAATTAATTAATTAATTTAAAAAAACACTGTGGAGGACCCCTAAAAGTATCATGAGTTCTAGGGTCAGTTGGCCCTCTGAACAATCCATCAAAATCTAGGTTCTCTCTGTGTGGTTGGCCACACACAGCATGTATGACCTTTTTATGCTCAGGCTGGCTTACCTCTGGGCTGTGTTATGGCTGCCAGTGGCAATGGAGGCAAAGGGCTCCACTGTTCTCCAGTGTGGGCTTAGGAGACCTTTCACCTAGGAAAGAAATCCTTCCCCTCAGGTCTGATTGGTTGAGGTGGGACAATGGGCTATCCTGAAACAACAGCCAGAGAATGCCATTGCTGATTTCATTACCTTAGACCCGTCAGGAGATGCCCTATTGTAAGGAATACCTAAAGAATCCTGGGTTAAGTTAAGATGGAGGAACAGTCTACTATAGCCTATCACACTATATATTCTAATATCTCAGAATAATCGTTCACATGTATTTGATATTTACCATGAGTTTCTTACCTAGTCCCCACAACCTTAAGAAAGAAAGTGTGTTATCCTTCCCATTTTATAGAAGCAGGAACTGAGGCTTATAGCGCTTACAAGATTTCCCAAAGGTAAGATTTTGTAAATAGTAAATAAAGAGGTCAAAACATAAAAGAAAAAATTGCTAGACTTTATCAAAAATAAAAATGTTTGCTCTGAAAAAAACAGCTTTAAGAGAATGAAAAGGCAAAACAAAGACTGGGAGAACAGATTCAAAAATCTGACGAAGAACTTGCAGGGAGACTATATTTTTTAAAAAGCTCTTACTACTACTAAGACAAAAAAAACAAAAATAAATAAATGAAAGATTTGAATGGGGTCTTCACAAAAGAAGACACAATGGTGGATAATGAGCATATAAAAAAGTTCAGTATCATTAGATATCAGAGAAACGTAATATACAACCACGATGAGCTACCACTTACACACCTGCCATAAAATGGCTAGCATTATAAATTGCTGACAATATCACAAAAGAGTTTCACATACTGCTGGTAGGAATGTAAAGTGGTATGGCTACTTTGGGAAACATTTTGGCACTTTCTTATAAAGTTAAACATACCTATACCAATGACCCAGAAATTCCACTCCTAAGTATTTATCTAAATGAAGGGAAAATATATGTTCACACAAAGATTTCTACATTAAATGTCCATGATGGCTTTATTCACAAACAATCCAAATACCCACCAATACCCATGAACAGATAAACAAACCAGGGTATATCCACACAGTGGAACGATACTCATTAATTTAAAAGGAGTGAACTTCTGATATACCTAACAGTAAGGATGCATCTCAAAAGTATGCTGAGTGAAGGAAGCCAGATGCAAAAATGTACATGTTCTAGGATTCCATTTACATGAACTTCTGTTGAAAAATGACAGCAGGGGAGCGAGGGTGTAACGAAGGAGAAAGATGAGGAGGCTAAAATAGTTTGTGTGGAAGATGGTGGTGTCAGAGGCCAGCATGGTCATGAAAGAAGTGATCAGAAATTGTTCAGTTCTGGATACATTTTAAAGATGGAGCCAACAGAGTTTTCTGAAGAACTGAATGCAGGGTGTGTGAGAAAAAAGAGAAACCAAGGATGACTCTGTGACCTCGGGTCTAAACAAACGGAAAGATGAAACTGCTGTTCATTAAGATGGTGAAGCAGGTGGGCAGAGAAGGCTGGGACGGAGTGAAAGTCAGCAGACTGTTCAGTTTGAAATGTCCACTAGGTGCACAAATGAAGATGGCAGATCAGGAGTTGAATGTACAGGAACAATTCCTGGCTGGAGATAGAAATTTGGGGTTTTTAACACCTTTTTTCCTGGGGAAAGGGCTAAAGATAGGTAAAAAGAACTCAAAAAGTAGAAGAAAATGTCTAGACCTTCTTACTGTACAAAAGCAAAGATACAATTTACTAAACTTTGGAGGTCACTAATGACTGGGGAAACAAACATTGGAATTCTGGCACCAAAATCTTCAATACTATTACCAAAACCCCATACACTAAAATAACTGTGGTGAAGCTCCTCTGATCTTGCCCACTGTTGTGTGGCTTGCAACCAAACTGGCAAGGCTGGCAACCTACTACATACCCCAGAGATAAGGACAGAGGCTTCCCCCTGGCAGCCTCTCTCTCTCTCTTGCATTCCCTATCATTTGATGCCCTTTGGTCCGCAGGGAAGGAGAAGGAGCTGTTGGGCAGAGCCTCTGCCCCTGCTGAGCGGGTGCTGAATCAACAACTTCAGCTTGCACATTGTCTCATTCATGAAACTGTATTTTCTTCAGAAGTCATAACTGCCTTGGAGGCAAACTATTAATCTGACTTTAGAGTTGGAGCTTTCAAAGATAACCACAATCTGTGTGGTAGGACTTGAAGAAGCCAGAAAAAAAATTTTTTTTCTCTCCAAATTCCTGAAATTCCACGATTAGTATGAAAGGTGAGAGCAAAATATCCAACTTGGAATGACCAATGTTGGGGACTCCCACAAATGAACCAGTGGAGAGAAGAAAAGCAGTAGGTGATAAAAGGAAGAGGGGGAGTGTGTTTGAGAGACCAAAACCAAAGCAACCTCAAAATTTTGTGTGAGTCCTACTTGGCCTCGCACACAGTAAGTCACAAATATTTGTTGAATGAATGCTCTTTTTTCTATATTTGAGGAAGTAGACACTCCCCCATCCCCCCCCCCCCCACCTAAAAAAGTATCTTAAAGTAAAGGCGAAAGAACTAGTCCTATAAATAGGGTTAATTCACTCTCCTGGGATTCACTTATTGTTAAAAAAAAAAAAAAAAAAAAGGCAATTTCTCAGGACGCTCGCAAGCTCTCTGGGAGAGCAGTTTTCCACTCCGCGGGGCAAGAGACATTTCCCGGGAGGCTGGAGCATCACCAAGGCCTATTCAAATCCCAAACATCACATGCCAAACGTGCCATCTTCTGCCTAGAGCTCCGGCACGTCTGGGAACTAAGGTTGAGGGGCCGGGAGGGGCGGGCAGGCGGCCCCGGGAGGAAGGGGCGCAGACCCAGCTGCGCGGCTCGCCCTCCCTCCGGGTTTGCAGCGCTCAGCTCAGCCCTTGCGCCTCCCTCAGCTCTCTCCTCCGCCCCTCTTCGCCCTCCCCTTTCCCTCCTTTTCTCCTCCTCCTCCTCCTGCCGCCGCGGCCGCTGCCAGACCTCGCCAGTTCAGACCCACGGGGCTGCCCTCCCCTGCGCTCTCCCCTCGCTGCCCGGGCCCGGAGCGCAGCGCGGCCGCGCAGGTAGGAGCCCCGGAGCGGGGGTCACACCAGCGCACCCAGTGCCCGCGGGGCCGCGCGCCGAGGAGTAAGTGGGGTGACCTGAGGGGTGCAGTGAACCTGAGAACTGCCCCCATACAGTGCAGGATCTCTCGGGCAGAGCGGGAGGTGGAGGTGTGAGGTCTCGGAATGCGATCTGTCAGGATGTGCGAGCACTAGGTGACATCTGTTTGGATGGGCATGTGTGTGCGTGCCGACAATCAGCCGACAGGGCTTTGCCCTCAAATGAGGTTTTGAAAGTTTCAGGGGGGCCAATGTGTGAGGTTCAAGCCGCACCTGGATTCCACCGGAACTGGTTAGAAGCTGGAGCACTGAGCAGCTCCCCAGAGACAGCCGCCTGTTAACATACTGTTAAGAAAGGGGACCTCGCCTCCCTGGGGACGCCTGGCCGGCCGCCCTGAAACTGGTACTTCGGGCTGCGGCGTGGCTCCCCAGTTCCAGCCCCAGGCAGACCCGATCCTGAAGGTAGCATTTCGGGGACCGAGACACCCGTAAGGCACGAGGGTACTAGACGCTTGGGCTGCTCCTCTACACCACCTGGGGCTTTTAAACAAAGCTGCTCGCAGAGAACGCGTGGAAATGCCACTTGGGAGAGTTTGCGCTGGGGAATGTGAGAAGTTCTGAAGGGCAGGTATTTTACTATGGGAGGAGATTGCTCCGGAGTTTCGCTGTGGTATTTTGTTTTGTCTTTTTTTTTTTTTTTTAAGTTTGAAGCCAAGGTAATTCATATTGGTTCACAAGTTTTTCTGCTGAACTTTGCAAGGAACTTAACTAACTGGAGGTGAGCTTATAGGGAAAGACTTAACCTTCAAAGGAATATGAGATTTGCTGCCCCACTTCCACCCTCGAAAAAAAAAATGCAGCGTCACCTTTGAAATTAATTACCCTGTATTCTTTCTCTTTCACCCCCTTTCTCGAGCCTATTGTAGGTGCAGTGTAAAATGAGTACCTTACAGCTTTTGTGTATATTCATCGTAGCCGGACAGTGTAAATCTAAATGTAATTCTGCAGCCGTCTTCAGCCTTTGCTGTCCCGTTTGGCCAAGGGAAAGTTGAAGAGGGGGTGGGGAGATGAGAAGTAGATTAGAAGTTGTGTATGACGGAGCCTCAGCCTTCTCCACTTTCTCTACCTTGCTCGTTACTTTACAGCTGAAGTTTTATTTTCCTCCGCTGCAGATGCTAAGCATCGGTTTGTACTGTGTTTTATTTGAGATTCACGATGTTGAAAGCCCTTTTCCTAACTATGCTGACTCTGGCGTTGGTCAAGTCCCAGGACACTGAGGAAACCATCACGTACACGGTAAGGGGGAATGGAATTTGAGATAAGTGCGGTTCAGTGGGATTCTGTGGCACAAGGGAGACTTTATCCAGTCCTGCCAGTCTATGTGGGCTATTCTCTGCGGAGGGTAATAAATTAAACCAGCGTTAGCAAGGTTCACGTTTAAGATACGTTGTAAATAGCCAGTCATTTCAAAAGTTCACTTAGATCGCCATTTGAGATAGGGAGCAAAATGTAAGGATTTATGCAAGGCCAAAAAGGGAAACTCCTTTAAAACAAAAATCAAAGTAAGCTACATGTTTGTGAAACATTCAGCATATTAATGAATATAAGTAATTGGAAAATATGAATTACTATATACATGCAGATAAAACCAGAACTCAAAGAGTAAGATTCAAACAGGAAGGTTAAATATCACAAAAGCCCATCACCTCATTTGTGCATGTGACTTATGTTCTCATGTAAGTGGATTTTCTCGACTTTATAAAGGCTATTATTCACTTACAATCTAACTGATAGCTCATATAAATGCCACTCAGACATGCAGGATGCAATATTTGGTAAAATGCATTGTGTGAAATTTGGTTTTGTATTTTCTGATTAGCATATCTGATATTTCCAAGTAATTTTTATTAATTAGCTAATTGTATGAGTACAACCAACATTGAATAAAGTATTGAAAATATCATCATCTAACCACCCTTCCCCACCACTGCCCAGAATGGACACGGTGAGAACAGAGGGCAGTGCTTACCTCACTTCTGGTGAGTTCGTTTGCCCTCTGTTTTGTGTTTTCTAGTCTTTAATCAGTGTTGTGAGGCAAATGACATTTGTCCTGGATCAGAATATGAAAAACATATTTTTCTACTTGCTCCCAACTTAAAATTAAGTAATCTTACTCAAAAGAATGTGGAAAATTTTTGAAAATAAAACTCTTAAAAGTGAGCTAATGTTAATTACTGATAATAAATATTATCTCACTTTTTTGATATCATATTATCCCTAGAATGTTAGTATTCATCTGGCAAATGTTCCTTGTTGTCCAGATCAACTATAAATCAAATGGGGCTTAGTATAAATATTTTGTTAACTTAATGGTAAATGTAGTTGCTTCCTCTGCTGAAGATAAATAAAGCAAGAGAAATGAATACATGTGTTGTTTATCTTCAGATGAAATTGTTTTGTTCTTCAGGCTAAACTTACTACCTTCTTAGGGAGTTAAAATTAAATTAGCTCCCCCCTTTTATATTCATGTAATAATAGATTTTATTGCTTTTACAACTGCTTATCTTGTAATCCGTTCCCTTTGCTAATCACCTAAACCTTACTCATCTTTAGCAGAGAAAGTTCCCTGTGGTTTAGACACTGTAGTTTTAAGACCACTAACTAGGGTTCACCATTAGTATAACAGGTTTCCCAGATATGACACCCTTTCTGTGCCAAGATTAAATCTATTCTCTTTTAAACTGTATATGGCTATTAGTTCATGGTTGAAGGACAAGATGTAACTTTTTTTTAGTAACTCCCTATGGAGACACTATCTCTTCATCCTCATAGCAAAGTATGAGCTAAATGGCATGCTCTTACTTCTACTAATAGTAGAACTGAAGATCAGAGAGGTATCTAAATTAAGACTACACAGCCAATAAGTGGTGAAACTAAATTCAGTCCAGGCTTGTTTAATAGTGATCCATACTGAATGTCCTAGAATTGAAAACCTAAAACAAACTTCAAGTCTCCTCTATTTATCATACAAATTTATCAAGTGAACTGCCCTTTTGCCTGGCTTGAATGATACTTTTCAGAAGGATTAGATCATATCCACAAGACAGCCTCATATTCTCCTTTCATATTAAAGATAGGATCCAGTCAGTTATGTATTCATCATGTACCTGCCCTATGCATAAGCAATTCTCATCACTATCAAAAGAATTCAAGTTTATTTGTTTACTAAAAAATTTCAGACCTTAACCTTGGGGAATTTACCTTGAGAAAACTACTGTTGAAAAGTACAAAGTATTATGCAGCTTGTACATGTTGGTAAAGAAATACAAAAGCAGAGAGGTAATTAATGTTAATACTGGCAACCCACTCCATTATTCTTGCCTGGAGAATCCCATGGACAGAGGAGCCTGGTGGGCTACTGTCCACAGAGTTGCAAAGGTTTGGATACAACTGAAGCGACTTAGCACATGCTGCCTTCAATGAGCGACTGGCTTATTGAAGAAGTTAGAACTTGCTGCTACTTCTTGAAGGAAGTGAGGACTTTGGATTATTCTGGAAAGGTTGAAGAGGCACCTGAATTGGAAAAGGTGGCATAATCAAAGGCTAGAAGGGAACATAGCCAAGTCAAGATCGGGAGGTGACAAGAATTTGGGTGCTGTGAGGGAGAACCTAAAGATGGTAATAGTGGAAGATGAGGGGTCCATAGGCCTCTGTGAGCTCTTAGATGGAGGAGCAGTGTAACCAAGAGAGCAAAGAAAGGTTATCATAGAGGCTTGTGTGCAGAATGCAGTGATATGGAGACCAGCTAAGGAGATTTGCCTTCTCATGAGGTCGGGAAGGCTTACACCAACATGGGAGATATGAAAATGGACGCAAAAACAGCAGAGCTTGAAGGAAAGTAATGGAAAAGTTGATGTTAAAATTGTTATCCTGGTTCCTGAGATATGTGGTAGTGCCTTGGACAGTGTTGGTAAAACTAGAAGCATTAGTTTGGGAGAGAAAATGAGTTTAGTTTTCACCTTATTAAGTCTTGGAAGTCAGTAAAATATCTAAACTCATCTCTGTCTCCATTCAGCTATTTGCCAAGCATCTGTTGTTTGCCAAGCAACTCGTGGCTCTTATGAAAGAATTTGTTTATTTGTTTGTTTACTCTGCTTTTGCTTAATCCTTCCTGAAACCTCTTTCTCAAATCTGCGTGTGATCAGATGTTTTCTTGAGCTTAAGAATTCTTCAGAGGCCTCATCACTTAGACCAGCATGTCTCAAGAAGTAGCCCATAGATAACTTGTATCAGAATCACCTGAGATGCTTGTTAGGAATTCAGATTCCATGCCCTCTACCTGACCTACAAAGTCAGAGCCTTTGGTTAGTCCCAAGAATCTCATTTTAACAAGCTGATTTAACTGATTCTTAAGCATAATAAAGCTTGAGATTCACTGACCTTCAAGGTTGAATTCAGTTCCCACTTGGCCTATCCAGAGAAAGGCTTCCCAGGTTTGGCCCTGCCTACCTCTCTTACCTCACTCCATCCACCCAGGACTACTGGTAGCTCCTTCCAGCTTTGCACCTTTGCTTATGTGGTCCCTCATCCTAGACTTACCACATCTCCCTGGGAAAAAGGTCCAACTCACTTATAGCTTCTCCCATAAAGCCCTCCCTTCCACCCTGTCATGTCTACCCACAGTCCTGAGCAGAGTCCATCACTCCTTCCACAGGTGAACTTGTGTCACGACACCTGACATCTTGGTCCAACTAATCTACCTGTCTCCTCTTCAGGCCTGTAAGCTGCCTGAGAATAGGAACAAGGTCTTAATCAACTTTGCTTTCCCAGGGACTAGGATGGTGCCTGGTGTGAAAGGGTACTTGATAGATGGTTCTGTCAGTGAGTGAACTAGAGAGGACCTTTAGAAACTGAAGCTGGGAGGCAGGCCATGGTATGAGAGGACGGATCAGGACTTGACTGAATAGGAATGATAAGGAAAGTCAGGTGCTGGAATGTTCTAAGAGGATTTAGAGAGAGAGGGAATAGTCAAGGGCTGAATAAAAGAACTCAGTTGGATTTTTTTTTTTTTGTAAAATTTATAATGTGGAAGAAGGGTCAAGTAAAGTGAAAAAAGCAGTTAGAGAGATTACAGAATCTTGGTATCAAGACAGAATGGAATTCCAAGATGGTTATGGGCAACTGGATCCAATAGAAATGCAACAAAAGAGTTGAGACAGGTGGTGATTGAGAAGAGATCCCTGAAGCAGTCCAGTGCACAGATGTGTCTTTTTTAAAAAGCTGTAGAATGTTAAACTACCCATCTCATCATCTATGTGGGACTCTAGTACCAAGACTGTTGCCATAAATATGAAGCTTTTAGAGTGACTTCTTAGAGAGCGGATACTCAATTAACTGTGTCCTGGCCCCTCTTCACAGCAATGCACAGATGGATATGAGTGGGATCCTGTAAGACAGCAGTGCAAAGGTGAGTCAGCTTCAAAGACTTCCCATCTGATCATAGCTCTCTGTCTCCATCTAGTATGTCCTTCATGCCCCACCTGTATTACACCCAAAAGGTATAACCATGTGATTACATGTTCGGTTCCCCCTGTAAGAAGATTCCTGACTTATTCTATTACTCACCACAGATATTGATGAATGTGACATTGTCCCAGACGCTTGCAAAGGTGGAATGAAATGTGTCAACCACTATGGAGGATACCTCTGCCTTCCTAAAACAGCCCAGATTATTGTCAACAATGAGCAACCTCAGCAAGAAACACCAGCAGCCGAAGGTGTGGGTGCAGCTGCAAATGCAGCCGCGACCTCTAGTACAGGCACTGGGGGTGTAGCAGCCAGTGGCATGGCTGCCAGTGGAGTGGTGCCTGGGGGTGGTTTTGTCGCCAGTGCTGCTGCCGAAGTGCAGACTGGCAGAAATAACTTCGTCATCCGGCGGAACCCAGCTGACCCTCAGCGCATTCCTGCCAACCCTTCTCACCGGATCCAGTGTGCAACAGGCTATGAGCAGAGTGAGCATAACGTGTGCCAAGGTAAGCATGACTTTCTATGCTAATGAGAAAGTTCTTGCCCAAGTGCACCTTGTGGTGAGAAAGACAACAGTTCTCATTTATTGAGAGCTTCCCCCTCACCATTCTTTGTGCTAAGTGCTTTGCCTGCATTATCATATTCAATCATCACAAAAATCACAAAAGGTAGTTGCTGCCCGAGTCGTCATCATTTTACAAATGAGGACACTGTGTCTCAGAGAGGTCACCAGTGGTTCTCAACCTTAGCTGCACATATTTAGAGTCACTTGGGAGCCTTTAAAACTTCTCCATGTCCAAACCACACACTAGCCCAATTAAATAACACTCTCTGGGGGTGGGTTCCAGGAATCAGTATTTTTTTAAGCTCCCCAAGTGGTTCCAGTGTGCAGCCAAGTTTAAGAGCCAGGGGTCACACAGGTGGTGAGTGCAGAGCCAGCCTTCAAACCCAGACAGATGGGGCTAGAGTCAGAGCTGTCAAAAGGAGCAGTCAAATTATTCATTTGGAATTTGAAATTGTGCTGTCAAGCTACTCCACAAATGCCCCCCTTTAAGGTCTCAAGTTTTTCTTTTTTTTTTTTTAATTGAACTTGCCAGTGACTTGTTTTCCTCACTGAGGAATAAAGAAATGGGACTTCTGCTTCTCCTTACCTTTAAAGGAGTCTTCCCCCACTCACACTTATATTTATTTTTAAGCTCTCATTTGAGCACATTTCGCTTATATCACTTGCACCATGGCACCATCTGCCTGGGTTTTTCTGTTTATTCTCACAAAGAATACACATCCGGTAGACTCATGCTAGCAAACTGATAAGAATCTTGGGCTTTGAAGACGTGTAGCATATGAACTAACTGGACTGTGCTAAGGGATTTTGTTCCTCTTTGCCTACTTAGCAAACCCTTTTATATCTGCCTGATGTGGCCATAGAAGCTTCAGACTACTTTTTCACTGCCAGGCACTGGCTGGGTACACCCCATATACACCATAAGTGCCTCGTACACACTGGCCAATAGGAAGGGCCCAGGAGTTCTTACCTTCTACTTACATAAGTGAAGAAGAGAGCACCTTCCACCCTCAACTCAGAAAGGTTCAACTGGGATCACCTAGCTGCTGTATTAAGTGAAAGAAGCATCTTTTGGTCTTCTAGGATGCTGCCCCTTATTCATGAGTGTTGAGTTTTATCTTCTGTATAAAAATATAGTAGATTTTAAATGGTTTGTAGATGAAGTAAGGAAACCTATCAGGCTCTGACTTTTATTATTTTATATTTTGCATTCAAATTTTCAGTATCCCACATCAAGAGCTAACCCATGCTGTGATGGTGTCACTTTTCAGAGTGCCTATCTTATTAGCATCTGTTTTGTGTTACTGTTATGAGTCAGAATTCCAATATTGATGATGAATTCTTCAGCATCTGCTTGATATTCAGATATTTAATTTAAGGATTATGTCAAAGAGCCTCATGAGGTTATTTATATATATATATAAATAAATATACATTTATATATGTATGGTGTGTGTATTTAAGTGAATATTGGTTTAAAAATACCTTGAATTTATTTAAGGTACCAACTTTTAATTGTTATTTAAATATATAATTATATTGGAAGGTTTGGTGGTATTTTTCCTGAAACTGAAAAGGTTTGGTGAGTTTTAAAGTATTGACTTTTACATATTGAATTATTTTTTATACTTTGGGCATATGTTTGAATGGTACTTAGGAGGGAAAAAAAACAGGTAAATGAAAGGATCATTTATCAGAAACTACAAAGTAGTTTATGGTCCATCATTGACAGTTGTCGTTGAAAGCAAGAAGAATGCCTAGAATCGAATGAACCTCTAGAATAAAACATATTCAGGATTTACAATATGCACTGGTTACAGTAAAAACTGTATAATAAAAAGTGAGCAATAAAAATGAAATCCTATTTAATCTTTCTTAAACAAGATTTAGACTACTTTACAAAGTAAGGTCTTTTCTTCTTTGGGAATTTCTTTTTCAGTTATAAGCTAAAACTCTTAAATGCTTATGATAGATGCTAAATACATATTCATTAATTGTGTGCACATGGGGCATTTCCAACCCAAACTGTTTTGCATAATTCAACCAATTTCTACAATTTGAGATTGGGGGTCTGTATCATTAAAAGCAGGGTTAAAAGTTTTTTTGGATGACTTAAGGCTTAAGTTGGATTTCTTCCCATCACACACTTTTGCAAAGTGCCCATAAATGTGGATTTACTTAATTGTTGATAAAAGGGGTTATTTCATATGATAACAGGATAATCTGTCTACGGAATCTGACTAACATAAGTCGAGTCACACTTGTGCCCGTTTATTATTGAGCTGATCAGACATGCAGTCCAGCTTCTTCTAATTGCCTACAGATGTATGACATTCTCATTCCAGGCCAGCAGCACAAAATAATGTTTTATAACCAATGTGAAAGTGTAGGGACTTCTGCTTAAAACAATTATGTGCTCCAAGGACCTATATTACTGACATCATTGTAGAGTTTGAGGAACTTTCTGTTTTAATAAAGATCTCCATTCTCCTTTTAAATGTTGCGTACTTATGACCAGTAATCCAAACACATTTACCATGATTGCTGGATCAGAATAAATGAATGCCTTAGATGAGTCACATTTTTGTCATAAAATTATTTCTTTTTTCCACATATATTTTTCAACAGGTACAGTTTATCGTTAACTTAACTTAAAACTGAGGACATTTTTAATGTAATGACTGAAATCTGAACTGTATTTCAGTGTTAGTCAATTGTGCCTTTGCATGTACTATTATCAATCACAGTTTGCACTTAATCATTTAAATACCACTAGATATTTTTAAATATTTTCTATTTTAGGCACTTCCCTCGTGGTCCAGTTAAGACTCTGCATTTCCAATGCAGAGGGACAAGAGTTCAATCCCTGGTCAAGGAACTAAGATACCTCATGCCACGTGTAGTGTGGCCAAAAATAAAAAGTAAATGAATAAATGTATTCTATTTTATAAATATATTTTTAACTAGCTTTCCATGTTTTAACATTTAGTGAAAACATGATTCTTTAACCTTTATTCATCTATTTGTCCAGGTTTTTCCAATTTTATGCAAAACCAAGGGGTTTAAAACATAACATCCAAATATCAATTCACAGTAAGCATTTTTTTCCAGGTAATTTTTACCAAATGAGCATGATACTGGGGAAGTCATTCACATTGAGAATATCGAATGACAGGTGGCATCTTTGGCAGCTATCAAATTTCATGAAGATCATTTCGGTGTCACATACCTGGAGTCATGTAAAAATTAAGCTTTAGAAATTAATTCTTTTTCCATGAAATATCATCCACCTCAAAGACAACGGATACTCATCTTGTTCCAAAAGGAAGTTGGATCTTTAGTGCATAGTCACTATGTAATCTTCAAGGGATATGGAGTTAGAAAACACTAGTTCAAGTTGAGAATGAATTTTTTTTTTACCATATATAATGTTCTAAGAGCCCCATTCTTGTAGGGGAAAAAATAAGAGAAATAAGAAAATCAATTGCCCAATTGAAAGGAATTTGTCCACTTGTAATTTGTAATTAAATTTGTAATTGAACTTACAAAAATTAAATGTAGAATATTTTGAATGGCTGGTAATTAAATCATTACTAAACTCAGCCAGGGTTTGCAAGTATCATTACTTACTTGCTAAAGAAACCATGCCATTAGAAAATGAACTTGATACAAATGTCTATTAAAGCTGATTGTGGAGTCAAATCCAGAGTGCAGTTCCTGGCTTGTATTATATAAGGTATAACTGAAAGATGTGAAAACATATCCTAGAGTTTCCAACCATCTCTGTCTACCCAAGACTATCTTGATATGAAAACTAAATGTCCCACTTCCCTGGAAATGCCTCAGTCCTGGAGAAATGGCATTGTTGAGCACCTCAGCAAACCCCCAGTAACCAAATGTCCTGCACACCACAGCCAACAGTGGGAAAGCTTCAGTGTTAAAGCCACTTTTCCAGGTTAAGGCATTGTTTGTCTGGTAAGACTGTTTTTTCCATTTGTTTAAAACTTTGAAAAACTATATTTCATTGATCTTTATGTATCTAGACAGAGCCTTTCTTTGCAGTTGTTAGCATTCTGCCCGTTTGTCAATTTCCACATTGTTCTAGATTGCATGTGTAGGATACCTAGACATTAGGACCTACATACTTGGATACATGTCATACCATAGTTAGTACATCTTTCCTCATTTCCACTGGGAAAAATTTTACCACTCAGCTAAATTAAAAACCATACTTCAACTACAAACTTTTGTTTGCCAAATTTCTTTTTTCAGTTTTAGCTATATTTTCAATTATTTTATTTGGTTTCTGTTATTATTACCTGTGATGCAGGAGCAACTAAAAAGCTAAAAAGAGAAATATACTGCCTTTTGTAAAGCCTAAAGGAATTAAAAAATTATACTTAGGGTTAAAAAGCTCTACACTCTTGGAGACCATATATTATCCTCCACACATTTCTTTATAAACATAACTAAAGTACTATTTTGAAAAGGAAAAAAGTTATTATCTTTACAACTACTTTAAAAAAGAGAAATTTGAACTAACACATAGAGGTTCTTCGATGTTAGGGACATCTCTTGTTGGCTTCTTTCATTTGAAACTTAAATGATATCATATCCAAAAGAGGATTTATAAATTACAGTGTAATCAAGTAGCCTAGCATACTTGGCATTGTCATCACCAAGCAACTTTCAAATACTAGCCTTTCCTTGATCCTCTCTACTGTCATTAGGGTCTCTGGTTGTTCCGGTTAGTTTTGTGAAGAAGTGTCTAATTTTTGTTATATATAATGATACAGCCCAACAAAGAGCTTTGATCTCAGAAAATAGATATCTTGCAAAAAGAAGACTATAATTGAGTAAATTATTATATTAACAGAAAAGAAATATTTCAAGCAAAATATAAAATGGGCATTTCACGTACTAATAGTTATTGTATTTAGC